TGTACATCACTGTTTCATTTTATAATATTTTTATAGTATATCGTTTTCCCATGAAGCTTTGTTACTTGTGCAAAAACGCAACTCCAGGTTTCAAACAGTTTTTGCTTTCGGGTTTTTGTCGAAATATTGATTTTCTTTGGATAAATCTACGGTATCAACCGCTCAAACTGTTCTACGAACTCTCTTGCTCCCCACTCCCTTGAGTCTATTACACCATAGCGCGTATGTCCTCATTTTCAAGCAGGTCAGTGTGAACGCCTGAGCAGGCGTCTTGTTTCTCTTAAAAAGTTTCTTTAACGATTCTTAAGCAAGCCATTGTGTAAAGGTAAAATTTATTCGCTTAGTACATTTTCACTTGAATAGATTTTGTCTTCGAACTTTAACGCCTTATTTAAGCGTAATTTAAACTGCATTTTCCATACTTATCGTCTCTACCTTTTTTAGAAGTTTTTTTTTCTGGAACGTGTTCAATAGTAAAGGAATACCGAATGGTTTTCCGTGCCAGATTGCGTGATCCATGCACGAGGGATATCGCGAGAGTTTCGGAAAGCGTAAAAATGCTCGAGCCACAAGCGAGTGTATTTTTACACTTTCCGAATGTCGAGCAACATCCCAAGTGCATGGATCACGCAATCCTGCTTGGAAAACCATTTGGTAATTGTTTTATAAAATAACTGCAGCGAAACTATGCGGACATTTTGAAAATCCCGCGAAGGCATTATAATTCCTCATGCAGGATAGCCTGATCCTGCAGGACTATTGACCAACCAAATTCCGTGTTTCACTGTATAGTTATTATATAACCTGCATTTTTTCGTGAGAATTTTGTTGGGAGATAATTTAGGTTCCAAAGGCAAAGAATAATCAAACACAAGCAAACAGTAACGCCAACATTTTGTTTGGAACCGAAGCGAAACACGCGTATTCACTGTGCCTGAAGCAGATATGGAGTTTCAACCGTTATTTTAAACCGAGTGTGACACCTTGGATAATGTTAGGCTCCGAATTTTAAATAAAGTGGTCAAATGCAACTAACAACTCTTGACATTATTGCACAGCGTCATGAAGGTTGAGACCTGTTGTTTGTAAAAGCCATATGTTTCGCTGTTTGGAAATGGCCTCTATAATTCTGAAATACGCAAATCAGACATTTGATATTTTTCTGGACTACGCAAAGAAAAGTGCTGTGCGCTATATTAAAATCAGATATGTATGTAAAATTATTAGCTAAAGCCCCCCGCTCCGCGGTCCGTGGTACATGGAAAGAATATGGAAATTATGTTAAAAGCACCCCTATAATGACGAAAGCACCGCGTAAAATCATAGTATAATGCTCGAACCACTGCGTATAATGACGAACGCACCGCGTATAATGGCGAAAGCACCACGTATAATGCTCGAACCACTGCGTATAATAGCGAAGCCACCGCTTATAACGGTCGAACCACTGCGTATCGACAAAATGCCGTTTGATCACTTACGCCAGCTAGTTTCCATAAAAGAAAACCAAAGATGAAAGATGATCACATTGCTTGTTTGCCTTATGCCTGTTTATTAGGCAAGAATAGCTTGCCGGCCCGGAAGCAGTGCATTGTGGTAGGCCGAAATACGCCGAAACGATCGAGATTTCATATATATATATATATATATATATATATATATATGTTCTAGAGTGTGTATTATATAATTTCCATACCCAGCGCAGCAGAAAAATGTTGTCTGCCGCGGCTGGGTCTTGAAGCCGCGACCTTCGAATTACTAGATCGACGCTCTACCAACTGAGCTACACGGTCAGACGGATTTAAGACTGGAAATTATGAAATATATACTGAATGTCGTAAACATACTCGTTTATATTAATTCAGCATCGAACAATACTAGTTCTGCAAGTGTTATGTTAGTTGTGTAATTGTACACTCTGTAATATGTTAAGATGAAATTAAAATGTTCTAGAGTCATATAAAGACTCTAGAACATTTTCATCTTAATATATATATATATATATATATATATATATATATATATATATATATATATATATATATATATATATATATATATATATATATAATTAATTAAAGTTCTCCGGATTGAAATATACTTTTATTGAGCTTTCGACTCGGTACTTCGAGCCTTCTTCAGAATACTGAGATTAAAATTACATATGTACATTACTTAATTAAAGTTTTGCGGTGTTGCTACGTTCCTGTATACGTTGAGACCGTCTAATTGGCTGTTCCGCGGTTGATCTGATTTCATTGGTGGTTGAAGAATGCGTTGTCACGGTTGAATGAATTTAGCTGCTAGGGATGGCGTCATTGGAATGTTCGGATTGTTGTGTTGCGGATGTTGAAGGAAGTGTTATTTGGAAGTTAGTATTAGTCATAGTACGTATCGTTGTTATTAGTAGGACATTGACGTGTTGTTTTAAGTTGTAAGTAAACAGTGGGAATTTCAACGTTTCGGTTAATAGTATTACCGTCTATACTGTACCATGCCTCTTTAAATTCACGTGCGTGTTTTGTTTGTCCTCGTCCTAATAGTTCGGTTTCTGTCCAGTTGAAGGTATGACAGTTGTCGTATGTGTGTGCTGCAGGTAGTGATTTATAATCGTATCGTTTTATGGCGTTTTTGTGTTCAGTTATTCGTGTTTCAAATTTCTTTGAGGTTTGACCTATGTATCGTTGTGGACAGTCTCTGCAAGGTATCATGTATATAGCATTTTTTGTTTGTTTTGATGCAGTTTTGTCTTTGTGTTTTGTGAAATATGACCTAAGTTTATGTGCCGGTTTGTGTGCTACGTCAATGTTGAAAGGTCGCAATAATCTGGCGGTTATTTCAGATGTACTGTTTATGTAAGGTAGAGTTGTTCTTGTCTTTGATTGTTCAGGTTGTTCGTCAGGTATGTTACTCTGTTGTTTGTTACGTATTTTTGTTAGTATTTTGTTAACGAAGTTCCTAGGGTAGTTGTTTTTTATGAAAGTCGAGAATAGATATTTGCGTTCTGTTTGTTTAGCTTGTTCTGTGTTACAGTGCGTATCTATTCGGTTGAATAAGCTTCTTATACAGCTTATTTTGTGTTGAGTAGGGTGATATATATATTATATATATATATATATATATATATATATATATATATATATATATATATATATATATATATATATATATATATATATATATATATATATATATATATATATATATATATATATGTATGTATAGGTAATAGCATGGATATATATATATATATATATATAGGTAATAGCATGGTTTCGAGTGCAATTTGGATATAACATGCACGAGTGAGTTTTTCAATGACCTCAAAATAGCACGAGTCCGAAGGACGAGGGTTATTTGAGGTCTTTGAAAAACTCACGAGTGCATGTTTATCCAAATTTCACGAGAAACCATGCTATTACTTATTAATAATTTATATAAAAATGTTCGAGACAATTGTAGTTTTAACTTACGCGTTTATAGCGAACATTCCACTGGCAAAGTTTTTCTGGCTTTGTTATATCACATTACACAACGCTAACAGCTTGAAAATTCCACTCAACTATGTAATTTTTGTTAGTCTTGTTTAAGGTAAATGCTTTTCAGTTCAAAAATAAAGATAAAAGCCATATTTTCCACGCAAAGGCAACTTTTACTTTGTGTAGCGCGGCGCCATGTTTGTTTTGTTTTGAAGCAATCTGTGACCGTTACTTCTTTAAACTAAATTGCTTTAAACTGATTGGTTGATGTAATCATCACAATGTTTTTCCGCCAATCAGATCAGTTTGTTACCGATTTTTGCACTGTGATTACAGAAAATTGCACTGTGATTACAAAAAATTGCACTGTGATTACAGAAAATTGCACTGTGATTACAGAAAATTGCACTGTGATTACAGAAAATTGCACTGCTGTTTGGGATTAACTGCACTGAAATCAACCAATCACAGTCGAGTAATATCTTTATGTATATTATTAGACTTGTAACTGGTATAAGTTACAGAAATCCTTGCAATTTCCTTTAATTTTTGTATTTTTCTTGCCGTTTCCTAGACTTGGTTCAAGTCCGTCTCTCAAGGGGTTGAAAATAGCGATGCACGCGAGCGGTCAAAAAAGGCACGAAAATATGAGAGAAAAGTAGGGAGAGACGGACTTGGATACCCTGCAAGCGCGCCAAATTTTACCGTCGGATTTTTCCTACGGAGGCGTGGCTTGCGAGTTGACAACAACAACAAATTTTCGCGCCAATTTTTGCAAGTAACATTCGAAATGCTGCGAATGTCCCAAGTCCGTCTCTCCCTAATTTTCTCCTGAGACGGACTTGAACCAAGTCTAGCCATTTCCTTGTAAAACTCATTTCCTTGCATATTTCCCTTGCAAGGACTAATATTTCCTTGCTGCAGGGAAAAATCCTTGCAAGTGGAAGCACTGCAGCGAATATAAAGCGATGCCAAACTTCGTTTAGGTATCGCAATTATAACAAACTCTGGAGCATTTGACTGGTTGTTATATATCATAGTGAGCTTTCACGTGATTTGAACATGGACACATGGTTAACATTTGATAAAGAGGACCGATCTAATACAGTGTCGATATATATCTCTGCAATCATTTGAGACATATTTGCATTGCGCACATAAAATGCTACAGTAAAACTGATCCAGACTAACGGGCCGATTACATGGAGCCCAACCCAGGGCTGAGTTTCAACCCAGGGCTGAGTTCAACCCCCCGGGGTTGAAATTTCAACCCTGCTTCAGCTAAATCGTCCATGTAATCGCAAAAAATTTCAACCCGGTTAACAGGGATGAGTTCAACCCCGGGGTTGAAAGTTCTCCATGTAATCGGCCCCTAATTCATATCAGCGACTGTGAAATGATTACAACAACCGCACGACCAAATATAAAGCCGGTTTTATAATATTCACCACAAAACATGGTGTATAAATTGCTTTCTACATGTACGGATATACCCACAACTTTGAAGCCATCTTACATCAAGCAAAAGGCTAACAACTATGTATATTTTCAGACCTAGTGAGAATACTATCAAGCCGCTTGGTATACGTGATATTTTCCCCAATGGCAGACATATTTATGAACTTCTGCTGTTGTACAACTTTACCTTGGTAAGTGAAATAAACGTTTTGATTTTGGTGATCTTCAACACAAATGGCAAAACATCTTATAAGATTTTTAGAATTTTTTGCTTCCATTCGTCCTCGGCAATCTGACATCCGTGTTGACCAAAACGTCGCTTGCTTGGCTCCCTAGAATAAGGCATCACTACATTATTGTAACTTCTTACACCCAGCCTAGAATAAGGCATCACTCCATTATAGCAACTTCTTACACCCAGCCTCTTTTTAGCGCCCTTTATAGCGAAATATCAACAAACGTTCACTAGTAATGCTGTATAATATGTAGCGTTTTCTAGTATGGCTAAATAATGGTAAATTGTATGAACAATTCTCAAAATGTTCCTCTAATGATGGTTCTGTAACTTCATATTTTTTATAAGAACGTGAAAAATTATTTAGCTCCCAGCCTCTAATTAGGCCCCCTCCTAATAAGTCCCCTTTCCAGGCCCACTCGAACAAATTAAGCCCCCAGGAAATACGCTATATCAGTTGTAAAGTAAACTTCCTGGTGTAAACATGCGGTGTTTTGTAGAGCCAAATGCGACTGACACGAAATTATAATCAGATATTAACTGCATATTGCTGGACTCAAAACCCTGTGGCATGCAACTATCAATACCCGATAATATAAACATCAGGAAAGATAATATATAGAGGATATTACACGTCGGCGCGAAGATATGACTTTTATCAAGCAAAAAATTGCGAAATTTCACGCTTAATTAAAAGCAAATTAGAAAAGGTCACGTGATCGATATCTTCACTAGTGAAGATATGGAAAATATCTCACTGTGTATTTTTCGGGTATCTCACTCTCTACTACATAACAATACTTACTATAAACCAAAGCACATAAATTATAAAGTTTGAAAGAATCTTAAATTGGTAGCTGATTCGAAAAGTGTCTTATATCTAATTTTGTTTTTTCTTCATTTTCAGAGTAAATCAGCAGATATTTTCATCAATGCTTACCTTCTGAGTGATCTACTTTATGAATCAGAATATGAAGGTCAAATGTGGATGTTGTATGATTCAAACAAGATGTTGGTCGGGGTCGGTGATGCTTTCTCGGAAAGGGTAATCGCGTCTCTGCCGTTATTGACTTTGTGTGTGATAGATCCCTTAGTAGAAACGCGGTTAGCTTTATTAACAGTACACTAATTTGTTTATATACTTAATTATTTAGTACAATGTCAAACTTGAGAAGGGAGAATATTTTATCAGGCTACAGGTAATTAAACATATACCTCGTGGATTTTAAATACCAAGCATCAGGAAATGCAAACCTTTAAATGTCTTAACTATAATCTCCATCAGTTACAGTAGAGCATCACAAGTTTGTGACGAGCCGTTGATGACGACATTTCGAGATGCTATCCTATATATTGGCGTGTGAATTACCAGAAAAAGATTAAAAGTGTTTTAGGTAGTTTAGATACCGACTCTCGCAGCTTAGATTTCTGATCAACAATGTTCCGAATGTTTTTAAGGTTCGTCACGAAAACAAGGACAAGTTAGAACGCCTCAACACAATGGAAGTAATATTAGAACAAAAGATTACATCACCGTTATCCTTGGATATATTTCCCAGTCGTTCATCCGCTATGACTGCGAATAGCAAGTTTACTGCTAAGACGATGACACCGGGGGATATTATGCCGCTGTTTATTGGACATCTACCACATGAAAAGTGAGTTTTGTCTTGATGCATTGATAAGTATATACAAACCTTCATATACAAACCGTAATATCTACTAAAGTAATAGAAATTGGAAGTGAAAATACATTTTCGACTGATAATATTGAGTACGGAGGTTAAAATTTTCGTGCTATACATGTTGCTCTTCTTTCCAATCCACAATATACCGCATCTTGTGCCATTGACTTTCAGTGTCACTCACATATCCTTGATCAGAAGATGTCAACGGTTATTTGTGTACATACACTGTGATACATGAACATTTCAGATTTTGCAATGTTTTCAAGTTGAATGTAATAAACATCCAGCAGTGATACCCAAATATTTCAAGATTATACAACACAATACAATACAATAACATTTATTTAACGTGATCAGATACACTATAGCTATAGAAAAAGCTAATTTACAGGTATTGCCACGATAATAATAATTAATTTATAAGACGGTGGTAAAAAGAAGACTAATTAAAATTAGAATTATAGTTATTACATTAATTTGACCTAAGTAAAAATGCGTTAAGTTACTGTAGATTGTCTAAGATTTTAATGTCGTTTAATATCGCCAGGATTTCAGCCCATAAGTAGTTGTATTCACACCTTTGGAATTTGAAGAATATGTTTTCCTCTCAATGAATATTTGCTTTGCCTTAGATTTAGCAATTTAACAAGATTATATGACAACTTTTTGCGAAAAGTCGAAAGTATGATCCTTTCTCGGAAAACAGTGTAGTACTGGAGAATGTCCAGTAGCGCCTGCTGCACTGCTACCAGGAAATGTTTAACGAAATATATTCGCAGGAGTTTTTCATTCTCATACAATTACTTTTTGTTTACAAATTCCAAAAGTGCTTTGAAAATCGAAATTGTAATGTGTCGAAATTAAAGTTTACTGTATCATGTGTGGCATCCCAGTTTCTCTGAAATCTGACTATATGCAGGGAATTTTAGATCTCTATTACACAGGAAATCTGAATTTCTGGATTTTCCAGGCCTGCTATAGAATACCTATACTGCTAATAATTTCGATGCAAAAAGCGTGCATTCTGCATTAAGTAATAGTGACTTGTGTTGTCGTGTATTTTGTTCTGTACGTCATACAAAAGCTTTGGCACGAAACGTCGCAGTGTTCTGATTTTTGATGTGTCTACAGAGAGAAAATCTTGTATTGCACAACTGTCTAAGCTAGACCCCAAATTAAAAATCCATACAACGATATATTTCATTGTTATGTGGTTTTAATTTATTTTTTTACTTTTTAGATACATGAAAGGAGCAAAGGCTGGTCACTATTTGTCTGGAAACATAATCTATCTTAAATCAAATGATAAGAAGAGTGTGGTAAGACCACTCAATTTCCTGTTTTTCATGGAAATATAATCCAATATAAATGTACATTTCTCTGCCCGGAAAGGGATTTTGTTTTTAGTATTTGGATTTTGTTTGTGTTATTTGGTATTTGATTTATTTCTCATTTTCATAAGGCCAAAATAAAAATATGTGAGTTTCCGGTTTCCCGACCCTACCTAGCTTTTGGACGTCGAAATCCCGACCCTAAACTTTTTTATATTGGATCATGCTTGTAAGTGTTTCCACTTAGAGGAAAATGTTTGTGGAAAATTGAAATTTGAGGCAATATTAGGGAAATTTATCTTTGGATGTGGAAACACTGACTAAACAAAATGACGTCCGGTTGTTAGGAAAATTTACCTACCCTAAGTTTTTATAAGAAGAAACCGGAAACCCACATTTTTTGGCCTAATGGTTCTTTCTTGCCAACTACCAGTGGCCAAGCTAGCCATGGCAACTGCATGGTCATGCTATGCTATTAAACCTACATATTTGAATAATGCAAATCATTAAAAATTGGCATAACATGACCTATAGTATTGTTATTGTACACTTCGCCACTGCAACCTACCTTCACATGTCCTTTCAAAAACATCTTCTGGTGCCAATTAGGGTTTCAATTTCATTGTAACATAACAAAATATACAGCCATTTTGCTCGTTTTATTTCTCATATATTTAACATCCTCTCCAGTCAACCCATACCCCTTCAAATACATCTTCTCGTGTTTACCTTGGGCTTGAACTTCATTTCGCCGAAGCATGAATACTTTGCCATTTCATCTGCTTTATTTCACATTTCAACCAATACCCATTCAAATACTTCTCGTGTTTGTCTAGGGTGTAAATTTCATTGCCACAATACAAGAATATTAGGCACTTTCATTCATTGTATTTCTCATTCACTTAATCCTTTTTTCAAGGCTAGCTCACCCATTCAAACACAGCACATCTCCTTGTGTTTATATGCCAAGGGTTTTATTAAACTTCATTGTAACATACAAGGAATTGAAGCCATTTCATTATTTTCATGTACTCGTTGTTTCTTTCCAGTCAACCTACCCATTCAAATATATCTTCTCGTCATCCGCTGCAAAGAAAGGCAACCAAGAACGCAAGGAAAGTGCTGATAAAACTACAGATGATAAAAAATCCACCGAAGCTAATAACGTAAGTATTCAGGAGTATTTGTTTTACATTATATTTTCTCGATGTCCCGCGTTGGTGGCCCTGAGCAATATAACACTGACGAGACAGAGAAAGAGAGCATGTGTAGGTTTTCAATTCATCATTGAGCAGTCTTGCCTGCATTCGAAAACTGAAGATTGGTTCGTTTTGTCCACAGGAAAGACGCCAGAAAGGCGTTCATTTGACATCAGCAGCAACACTCTGCTCAAAGCAGGATATAATTGTTGGTTAACACTTTGAAAGTGCAGGGTTCGAAATGTACGTAATTTACCTTTCCATCGTGACAGGTTGTGCATCTTTTACCTGTCACCTCCATTATTCAGCCTGTACATTTTTTGTAACTAAAAACACAAGCTTCGTTAGACAAAAGTGTGATTTAATAAATTTGAAAAAAAGTATTTGAAATTTGTTTGATGTACAGTTGAATATTCAAGAAACTGGTTAATAATGGTTATTGATTACATATGTTTTGGTTTGTAGAAACACGTATATTTATGATTGCAAAGCTTTCTATTCGTAGGTCCAGATCTTCATCAGTGCTATATGACTCATATGACTTGTTTTAATTCATTCACTGAATTGATTACCGTCTCTTCAATCTACATACTCCTTGTCAATACGGTATTTGTTTAGGTGCTTGTTCAGCCTGTTGCAGGGGACAGGTAAACAGTTTTTATACCTGTCGTTTGTGAAAATCACCTGGAATCGACAGGTCGTTATTTTGAAGCCTGAAAGTGTCATAGGCAGATTTTCTAGCGTGTGCATGGAATGCGTGTCCTATCCTCAAACAAGGAAATTGTTCAACCATCTATATGCTATCTATACTATCTATACTTTGATACAGGTATCGAAACAGATGGAAGAAGCTGTGCGTGATCTCAAAATTACTTGGCTACCAAAGTAAGTGCATAGTTAGCATTTTTCAGTTTGCCACTTTGTTAAACAAATCTCCTACAGTCAAGCTAGTCCTATGTTCTTTCCTCCTCTTTTGCTGTGTAATATTGGTTTATTTCTCGGGTGTATGGCGCACTATGGCAACTGGCAAGAGTTGACGTCACACCTGTCTATATGTTCCAATCGTATCCCAATTTCGCTTCTATAAAGGGTCAGCTCCTCCCGAACCATCAGCTCTCTTCTAATCCAAACAAGTTGATTCAATCAGCATTAAATGAGGTAAATAGTCTAATTCTAAAAAGTCCCAAGAGGAAGTTCCAAACGCAGAGCTGATCGTCTACGAAACAGAACATTTCGGAATCCGAGGTGCATGTGCAAGTCTCAGACAGGGAAAGTAGGTATTCTATCTTATATATCGAACTATCCCCTAGGGCTCAAGATTCTAGTTTATACGAAGAGCTGAAGCAAGCTTATGCTGATTACATTCCACTGCATTTAGCACAACTTAAAGTATTGGATGAGAGCAAGGTATGGTGATCTTTTTCATTTGATGTGTACTTCTTATATTTGTATATGTAATCGAGTATGAATGGGGACGGATTGAAAGTTATGCAAAATGGCACGTTGATAGAGGTATAACGGGAAAGACATGCAAATGTAGTTTTTTAGGAGAAACGAGGGTGGAAAATAAGATTCCTATAATCGTTAGTTGTGTAACACTAATACAATTACAATTACGTTTTATCATGTCATCATTAAGGTGTTAAATTCCTACAATTTTAGGACAGAGACGAAAAGCTGAGCGATATTGTTAATCTTGCTAATGACATCATTTCCAAGGTATAAATACTCGGTCATTTCCAAGGTACAATTACGTAAAATGTAAATTTCATCCTTACGAGGTCACTAAAAATACCGAATATGGAGTTGTGCGCAGGATACCTGCAGTGTCAATGTAAACGTTCTGTTTGAATAGCACGGGCAGTAGGTCAACCTCGCACCCAGGCTCTTTCCACTACGTTCCAGCGAGGAGCGTAGTGGAAAGAGCCTGGGTACGAGGTTGGCAGTAGGTATGGTTAGCGCGCTGCAAATACCGCTACTGAAGGTCAATGGTAGGGTATTGTTAGGTGACTATCTTACTCTGTAACTAGAGTTGTGGTTAGTTTCTTCGTGTGCTTTAAGGGATTTCTTCGGGGTACTTTCCTTTTCCTTCCTCACCAAGAAGTACCTTTTCCAACTTAGCTATGAACTTATGTGAAAATAGTCGCTCTGCCGTGGGTTTTCTCTGGGTGCCCCGGTTTCCTCCCACAGGGAAAGTTGACATAGGATAGGATAAACACACTTAGGAAAGTAATATCTCAATTGTTGTAAAGATAAATAGTCTAGGTTAATTAAGTAAGATGAGCGTAATACTTGATGTAATAGGTCACTGAAAAGCTCCAATGGGGAATGAGCTGAATAATAGACAGATTTAGATCGAGGACGCGGACGTCAAAGACGACGTGAAAATGACGTGTCGTGCCCATGTATGGATATGCCACACCATTTTGACGCCATTTTCACGTCGTCTTTGACGTCCGCGTCCTCGATCTAAATCTGTCTAATGTAATGTAAATTGTATTATAATATAGCATTTGTAAATTGTGCACGCTGATTGGCAAAGAGCCGTGTTGATATAACTCGATGTCAACACGGAAACGTCGGAAAATTTCTTTCTTTATATTTCTTTGTGCTATATTATAAAACAAATATAAAACACTTTTTCCGTATTGATATATAGTTATATCAACACTCGTGGAAGTTGGGAAAACTCGAAATTGTATGAAACACTCCGCCCTTCGGGCGTCGTGTTTCCATACAATTTCTCGTTTTCCCAATTCCACTCGTATTGATATAACTGTATATCAACACGGAAAATGTTTTATATTTGTTAAATGTAACGCAACGCAATGTAATGTAATGTAATGTAATGCAAAGCTATATGCTCCGTGGGTCGTATGGTAGCAACCAAAGTCTTGAGTTGCGTCCTGCACAAATCAGTAAAGATGATTAGCACACCCTAACATTACTGCGGGTATGATTTCTGTTTAGATTGACGTGACTGGATTGCTTGGTTACTATGGTATGAAAACTGTTTCTGAGCCAGACGCTGCCAGTAAGAGAAAGTAAGGATATTTTATTATAACTGATCCCGGGATATACCTGGATTGATTTGAGTATATATGGATTGAAAGCGGAAGTCAGTCATTATTAAGCGAACAACTGAAGATTTGACATTAGAAGACCGAGACATATTTCCCCTAAACATGTGGTTCTTTAGTTAAATAGCAGATTTTTTATTAATTGTTTTTGTTTGTGGAAACACCACATTTATTATATTTTATCGCCATGCAAACATTCAAAGAACTTATTAGATTTTTTATTGTCTAGCAATGTTTAACTGACTTCATTTTTTCGTTATCCAGTCTAACGTTGTAGTTCAGTGACTTATAATAGATATTATAAGAAATTCGTAAGATCAGTCAATATGAAACAAATTTTATTTTATGTACATTTCAGAGAAATGGACAAAATCAAAGCAGCACTGGTTGAAACTTACATCAAAAAGGTTAGTTCAATTTATAGGGTACTGGGATCCTGCTCTGTGTATTCCTCCTCTTTAGTAATCTTTGTAAGTATACGTTTAATTTTAAAATTCGGTCGTGCTTCGAGAGTTTATTCAAAATCAAAGCAGTCCAGATATTAGAAATTAAATACATATCTTTCTTTGTTGTTTAGGGAAATGCTTTGGCGTCAATTGTGAAAAAACAAGAGGAAAATGGTCCAATTATCCCAGGGGATGACTCAGGTAACCAAGTGATTTCGCCCGAATAAGGAAATGACGCGTTCTGTGTCATGATAAATTGCAGTTGAACTATAACATGGAGCTGACTTAACAAATAGATAAGATTTTGCTGTTGTCTGTTCATATATAGAGGTCCTCTTAATCTGTGTAGATACACAGTATGACGTGATAATATGGGAAGAACAAAAAGTGGCTCACGAACCGCCGAAAAAGTCGAAATTTTACAAATATCACGCGTACATGATCTATACAAATAAGGGAATGCTATTGGATAAGGTTTTGTGTGACGTAATTCCGTGTGTATGTCCTCTAATAGATCATGGCTCTCGACCAATGAAAGCGCTTGAATTCTTAACGTTATTATATCATTATATAATAACGTTAAGAATTCAAGCGCTTTCATTGGTCGATGATCTATTAGAGGACGTACACACGGAATTACGTCACACAAAACCTTATCCAATAGCATTAATATTCCCTTATTTGTATAGATCATGTACGCGTGATGTTTGTAAAATTTCGACTTTTTCGGCGGTTCGTGAGCCACTTTTAGATATGCATATCAAATTATTTAACTGCATCATTTCTGTTTCACTCATAGCCACAATGGAACTGTCATTAAATAATTTTGTAATTTAAAGTGAATCAACCGTGCGGAAACTTTGCATACTCAAATAATAAATGAACAACTGAATACTTTGACATGCATAATATAATTTTTCCAGTCTCTGCTTACTTCTTGCACATATTGCACATATACATGTAATTATTTCTAGTTTTTAGGTTGTCACATTCATTATTCCGCTTGCATTTTCACAGAAAAGGCACTGAAAACATCGAAGTCGCATTTTGAGTTTTTGACAACCTTCGGAACACTTGACACCTTCTTGGCACCACGTTCGCAAGGCGAATTTCAGTAAGGGTGACGCATGCGCAGACGTTTTTCCGCGGTGTTCTTGACACCACGTTCGCAAGGCGAATTTCAGTAAGGGTGACGCATGCGCAGATGTTTTTCCGCTACATGTTATAGTTCAACTGGAATTTATCCCGACGCAGAACGCTTCATTTGGATGCGCAGTCGAAACTTCGAATTGTCTTATTATTTACGGCAAATATTTTATTAAGTCTCTCATTTAACTCCCTTCTAGGGGGAGAAATTTATTAAGTCTCATCGATTTAGCCTCTCTCTCCTGTAAAAGTGGTGTAAATCCTGTGTTCCGTGTAAATTTACCATGTTTAATTTGTTTATTTATTTTGTTGGTAGGTTATTCAAAAAATCACTGAATATATTTTTACCTTCATTTAGATGTGGACGCAGAAGAAATAATGAGATTAATGGCCCAAAAGGGTTAGCTTACATACATATATATATCTGAATAATTAAATAGTATATCCATTACAATGAAAAATTTACAGCTGTCATTGTGTTATATAACACTGTGCTCCATACTGTACGTGATAATCAGTAGCCTGCTCACAGTCCCCAGCCGAAAATTTGAAACGGAAAATTTCCGGTTTTCCTTCGAACAAAATTTTGGGCTGCGAGCAGGCTAGATAATCGGTGGTAAATATACCTGTATGCTGGTAGTTATTCTGAATTTATGTACTGTTTAATAAACGAGCAGGAGTGTTTTATTAGGTTTAAAGCCACGAGTGCGCAGCGCGAGTGGCTTTAGACCTAATAAAACACGACCTGCGAGTTTATTAAACGGCTTCAAACACGACTACAAATTCAATAGATATGCTGCCTTATTAGTATTCTTTATATAAAGAATACTAATGAGGACACGACTACAATAGATACTGTCTGATTAGCATTCTTTATATCAAGAATACTAATTAGGAATGTTTTATCAGGTTTAAAGCCACTGCACGTGACATATTATGGTTGACATGATTTGCCAATAAGCTTATGAATTATTAATGAGTGTTTGGAATATATTTATTTTCATATAATTTTTATAGAACTGCTAAAGGATACGTTTCAGGATCTGCTCAAGTGGGTTGAGGTTACGGATTCAAAGGTAATAAATCTCCAAACATTTAGAAACCCAGTGTTAACACATTAGCCCACCATACTTACCTGTTTCAATGGTGAGTTGTTAGCCGACTTGGAACGACTACTCGTATTGGATTCAGGTTAGATCCATGCATGTGGTGTCTTGAGCTGACCACCAACCCCCAAAACCTTCGTGCTCAACTGATTGAAAATTTAGTCAACTGATGGAAAATTTAGAATTAAAGACGAAACAAATTCTTTGTGCCAGTCGATTTTGTCCCACCTAACATGATAAATAATCATTTGTGTGATCATTTGAAATATAATCGAAATATCACTTTGAATTTTGTCTGTGTGAACTCTGCTTGGTTCTTGTTGAACTCATATCTTGTATAAGGCAATACTCTCCTGGATATGCCTTTTCTAATTACAAGATTATCATTCATGCTGCGGGGTAAGATAATTATTTTGAGTCGTACCTGACTGGTACTCCCATGGTTATTGCCGCGTACTTGAGCTGATACAAACGTAAGACTGAGGGTGTTCAAAGTACAGGTGCTGAAAGGTACAGGTGCTGAAAGGTACAGGTGCTGAAAGGTACAGGTGCTGAAAGAAGCACAATTACATATAAAAACACCACAATCGACTCCATCCTTCCTTAGTAGCATCAGTCCAATCAGGAGCGTAGGAAGCTTGATAAACCTGCGGGGCGAGGGGGGTTGCGATTCCACGAGGCGCCACTATAGTTGGTACCGATCGGGGAAAAAATGGAGTCTCAAGATCGTCGGAAATGGCATTCCCAGAGTCTTCTCTACCTCTTTCACAAGGCCCTTGGATAATTCTTCCATTATGATTTGTGAGTGTAAGCTATTTGTGGGTGGATTGATGGATTGTTATTATCAATTGGCCGATCGGAAGCTATTCCGGCCCCCTTTATAGGATATTGGGCAGCGGCCACCCTGCTTCCTATACGCCCTGAGTCCAATCATGTTTCATACCAAGACATGTCACACTTACTCTCTCTTTCTATATATATATATATCAACTTAATCATATCACTCATTGGTAACGTGGCTGAAAAAATGCAAGCAGACCGTAATATTGGCGTACAGCGTAAGCAGGCGAACTATCGCACCCAAGCATGCTGTAAAGCTCAATTTATTAACTATATTCTTTTTTCTACCAGGCGTCATCATTCGTGATTGCCTATTATCTTGTGATGAAACATTACGGCCGAGCTTTAAGACGTCTGTTGAAGGAAGGGGAAGAAAAAACAATGACTTTGGAACAATTTGAAAAAATGATTGAGGTATGTGTGCAAACTCGTGTTCTTTCCTTATGAGAAATTATATGCTCACTTGTTTTACTTTAGTCATGACAAAAAAAAACGTGTGTAAATTTAAAACACCTTTGTTAGAATGTTATTTTGACGTGAATAACAGGAACCTGTTAGCCTGCGTAGCAGGCGTTTATTTGCTTGCGGGCGGCGAGGGCGGCACCTGCTACGCAGGCTAGTAACCTATGGGCTTGGGTTAATTCGATTCCTGGGTTGGGACATCCAGAAATCCTAATAGCTCAGTGATCAGAATCTTGATATTCCAGAGGCTTTGGATTCTGTTCCTTATTGAGACATTCAGAAAGTTTCAGCAAATACTTCGACTCTATGTATTTGGACAGCCAAAACATCTTTCCGAAATTACACGACTTTCTGTGTTCTGTAACCCGCATGCATGTGTTTATAGTAGAAAATAATCCAATATTGGGTGAAATGAAAATATATATTTCATTTCGTTTATTTTAGCTATTTGATGATCTTAGCTGGACTCACTGCAGTAAACATTTCAGGAACATGAAGTTGGTCCGTTATCCCAAGAACTATCAACCATTTTAAAATACACTCGTGAACACCGAGTCTAAATATTATTACTTCAATTTTGTAGAATAGATTTCACTAGCTACAGTAAAATATTTGCATTTCGCATGCTTAATTAATAATTATGATATCTTACATTTTATTTAATATATTAATACACAATGTTTCAAAATTTAATAATAGCATGTAAAAATAACACAGGAGTGTATATTATTATATAAGATATAAATATTTGAATATTAGATTTAGGATTTTGGAAAATAATTACACCATGAAGCACAATGTAGAATAGACAATGTTCATTTTCAACGCTGTCGCTATGCGCGTCTTGTGTTCTTAACTTTGTGAGTTGTTCGCAATCTCGTTCCCCGAGCCTGCGATCCTCGGGAAGGAACGCGAGGCTCTGGGATAATCCGTTTCAGGGAGGAATCTGATTGGCCATTGAAATGGAATGCGTAGTTCAATCTTAGCCAGGATTCTTGGCTTCCGGTAACGGATTATCCCAGAGCCTTCGATTCCTTCCCGAGGATCGCAGGCTCGGGGAACGAGATTGAGTTGTTCGATGATACAACCTCGTACCCAGGCTATTTCCTCTCACGCGCTGGTGCAACAGCAACCCTGGGAACGGGGTTGTCGATGTCAACATGGTTTTCAAAATAGTTGTTCCACGTTCTCAATTTCTTCAATGCTTGTGACGGATTGAATCTAGTTGTAAATAATTAACGATACGAGTTTTAAATTGAAGGGCATCTGTTAATCAAGTGTCCTCTCGTGATGTAAACTACACCTTTTCATTAAAATAAAATTGCATGTAGTATTTACTAGGCTCAAGCCTAAGTATTTACGCCACAGCCATGTTTTTGCATAGAAAGAAGTCGAGGCTATGTGAGTGTGTAATGATGCATGCTACATTTTAAATTTAAGGAAAGATTTTTCTGACTTGTTAAGTTTGAAAGTTAGATTTGTGCTTTCTCCATCTGAGGAGGCTGCGAGCAGGCTATTTTTCTACTGGCAAGTCGAAAAGTTTTCCATTACGCGAAAATAAGAAGTTTGGATTTGATATTACGGAGTGAACCGATAACACAACGTAGAACTAGAAGTTTATTGAACTCTATAAACTGTGGCGAAATAAAGCACGAAAGGTGTAAAGTATCATGGGAGGAGAAAATGGTAAAGTTTACTGAAATTGCAGTTTTTATCGCTCCAGCGTTTTGTCCAAAAACTTTGTATCTGAAAAATTTGGCGCAACTCATGCACGATCAATGAGTTGCGCGGGAAACTTCCTGGGTGCTAGTCCTGGGAATTCTTTGCGCGCGTAAATTTCTGACCAATCAGGATGCAGTTTGTGACCCCACCGCGAAGCTCAGTTGTCGGGGCTTCCACCAAAGACTGGAGGATCGAGAATTTCACAAATGCGGGATAGAATTGCTTTGAACACGTAAAAGAAAGCTAGTTTTACTGATATACCAATGAAATTCTTGTGTTTTAATGATATTTTAATACTGAATGTCTAGAAGTGTTTCAGTAACGAGATCCGATCTCTATCTCAGCGAAGTTTTAAACAAAGCCCGAAGTTTAAAGCTCAGTGACGAGCGTTCATGCCAAACACGACTTTACCTTGGTTGATAGACCTTGATATATTCATCGGCTTTATTGAACCATCAAGCTTCAAACTTAGGTTAAGGTGCATGCATTATTTGTAGTCTTCTGATGACTACTTCTAGCGAAAGTTTGGCGAAAGTGTGGAACGATGGAGGTGAGTTATTATTGCGTGTTTCTTCTCCATTGTGGTCTGGAAATTTCACGTGTAATTTGTTCGAATGGTTTCGTTTCGTTGTTCCTATCCCCGAGGTATTTAACATAGAGTGGCATATCCAATGTCAGTTTCTTTATAAAACATTGGTTAGTGTATGTAGTCACTTTTAGCCGTGTGATAGTACATATAGTTTTGTTTGAGAATTTATGAACAGTATGGAACTGTAGTTTGTTTTTTTTTGCTTTCTACAGATATTGCCAAGAAATCTCTAACAAACGGAGCTGTTTCTTTGTCAACTATTGCTGGACAACCACGCGAAACTATAGCACAACGAACCATCCCAAACGGACTAAACAAAATTGATTCAGAGAAGCACCATATACAGGTATTTTCGCTTCTATTAACTACGAAGTGCTTGAGGGCTTGAGATGATATCAAAACACGTCTATACTTGTGCTATAGTATTAAAATGGATTAGCTAGCAAATTATAATATTATTCAAAAACCTGTTACAAAAAGTAAAATGCTTTTTCTAACAGCATGGTCTATTCCTACGAAATAAAGCTAATTTTCTTTGCAGATCACATCAAATATTACAAATACACTACCACAAACTAGTGTCACTGTAAGGCCTAAAGGTATGTGGGTAATTGTTATCAATACACGCCAATCAAAAGTTAGTTATAAACACTTGGGGGATGTTTACATGAAACCTATAAGGTGGATTGCAATCAATCTCATGCGAATTTAACAACAAAAGAACAGCGGCCATCTTGGTGTTGGATTCACTGAAAAATGAGATTCTTTTGTTGAAATGCCACCAACATGGCCGCCGTGACATAATGTGCAATCAACCTTTATATATATAAAGTAGGGATGCTTTTTGTCTTTCCAAAGTAAGGGCGCTTCCATTTACATGCCAATCAGACTAGTCAAGTTGCTAAATGGAATACCAAACCTTTGTGGTGGGGATTGGTATGGCCAGAAAATATGGGTTATATCACTGTGTTTTGTACACAGTGGGATTAGGAATAGGGTTGTGATTGAGTTGTTCCAGAAAATATCCACCCTGCCCCCAAGGAGGAAATTTCTGCCATCCAGAGGGGAGAGGAGAAACATTTGTTTCTGATAATAGTAAGTTTATTAGGACATCTGAAGGGGGTACGGGGATTAATGTTGAATTTCCTTTGTGGGGAGGTATGGATGTTTTCTTGAATAACCCATTGGGGTCAAGAAATATATTCATGTACAAAACATGAGAGGTTTCTGAAATATGGATCAAATTAGAAGAGGTTCATTGTAACCATGATGATTTTACCAAAATAATTTGCCAAGATCTTTACTTCAGTACCCATTGGGGTATTACAAGGTTGATGATAGTAGATCAATTAGTACTAGGCTGTTGCAGTATTAAAAAAAAAACCCGATACCAGAAAAAAATACCGATATATCGATATTTTTCCCGATTGTATTTTGCTTAATTTTATGCAAAATTTTCTGTTTTCAAATGACGGCAAACAGCCACAATATAACAGTTTTGACTCATCGGGTGTGAGATATTTTCAATAAAGTGTGAGGCCAGTGATCAGTAGCCTGTGAAATGTCCAATTTGGGAATTGAAAATGCATATTAGCATTGATTATTGCACTGGATGAATCGTGTGATATTTTTGGCCGGGAAATTTGTTTCAAAACATGTTATTCAACTGCGAGTTCGAAACAAATCTCACCAGATAAACAATGTCCAATGAGGTTAGTTTTTGTTTTTCTAAAACATTTGTAATCCACCGTTGTTTAAAAGTTCACTTTTTTAGGGGTGCACCGGATTTGGAATTTTGAAATCCGGCCGGAACCGGATTTACCGGATTTGGTAAAAAATTCCGGCTGGAATTGCCGGATTTGAGATAAACCGGTAATCAGGATAAATTGGGATAATTCAGTATTCAAAATGGCAGTTTATGTTTTTTACTATTTTTAGTTAGCATCAGTTTAGATTTTTGATTGTGTTTAAACTTTTTTAAATATCTTTTTGTTAATAACTTAATATTTTATAATAATATTAAGCGCTTTTTGAACTTTAAAGCTGCCAAATTGATGGTTTACCCCATTCTTGGTGAATTTTTTAAGGTGAAAACAGAAATTTAAATCCGGCTGGATTTTCTCCAAATCCGGCCGGATGCCGAAAAATTTGTTAAATCTGGCCGGAATTCCGGCTGGATTTGAAATCCGGTGCACCCCTACACTTTTTGACAAGTGAAATGACGTGTTGCACCTTGCAACGCCAATGCAAACAAAAACACACGTTTTAGCTCTCGCTCTAACCTTAATTACGGATTTTTCGGCAGAGTTAGCACATTGATTGTCTTTGTCCTTCTGAAATAACTCCAATCAGCACTTGAAAAAGCTTGATATGACATTAAATCTACAAACGTAAACATTATATCGATAATACCGAAAAATATCTATATTCCGATACAGCGTATCGAAAATTTAAATATCGAATAAGCAGTATTTATAAAAGACTGATAATTATCGGTATATCAATTAGAGCTGCTCCCGATTAATTGATTAATCGATTATTTTTCCACAATCGATTATGCTTAACAGTAATCGGATGATCAATGACACTACACAGCGTGATACGCGAATGAGTTAATTTCTTTCCGGATTAAAAAATTGCAACAAGATTGTTATTGAAATATTAAATGACAAAGTTAACATTAAGGGGACTTGCATTGATACAATTCACTCACAGCATGCAAAGTTTACCATTCAGTCTGATCGGGTTTACCAGTGCCGCAAAAATATATTTAAAGGATTTTATTTCTAGTAATTTATTACCATTTGCATCCGAACAGTGTGGCATGCGGACATAAACCAATTATCCATCATAAAAATTTACTTAGGAGTGTCAAAGGTAAACAACTAAAGTAAATATCCTTAATATCTTTCGTGTCTTCATGCATTTCTTTTGTGTGAAGTTTAAGAGCGCGAGAACATGCGCAATCTATACTTGTGATTAACGTTTATTTTAAACACAGATTTAAAACGTTTATACTGACTGGTGCAACCCAAAAAAAATTAATAAAAAGTTTAATTACAATTTACAAATTTATCAAACCACCATGGGCATGTCATATTTAAATTAATTATCAATACGATTAATTGATATTAATCGATTGTTGACAATGATTAATTGATTACTAAAATTAACCAATGGGAGCAGCTCTAATATCGATATACCACAACAGCCTAATTTAATTTAATAGTACAACAATTTGAAAAAAATATAAAATAAAACAAATCCGAAGAGATGCAACTTGAAAATTCAAGACATGGATTAACATTACGACAACATTTTATATCATTTATATCATGGTGATATTTTGACTTTATTTCAAAGCCTTTTGAAGAAAATAGCATGATAAAATTAATGAATGAATATTCTGCAATGTGATATACATTTTTTTGGTTTACATTTTGTTTTGATTAAATCCATACGATTGGTTTATTTTTATCACATGGACTTTTGTATTCAGTAATATGTAAGGGACGGACCATTTGATTTTTGATGGGGGAAGGTGCCTTTTTGAAAGTGCTCAATTTTTTTTCTGGCCTCATAGGCTTTGCACAATATTTTTTCCAAGCTTTTGTAATATATTGGTTTTACAAATTTGCTGTGCTTGATATTTTTTCATCAGTTCAGGGCATGCTCAATATTTTTTTTCTGATTTGTGCCCCTCCTGGGCCATCAAATTGTCCCTAAGCACATGTGTTTTCCTGACCACTCTATTGACTTTGCTCAGACAACAGGCATTTGCTCAAAACGTTGAAGTTCTTGTATGTCTCATGTAGTTGTTTTACCTGCAAGGGCCACAGTTTGTTCACTGGCACCCACCGTTCTAGATTTTAACAAAATGGATAATACCCTTATTCTGAAGCCTGTCATATTTCTACCATAATTGCATTTGGCATTAATTAAATTTACTTTGTACTGAATATAAAAGCCTCCAGCTAATAAAAGATAGCATCAATCATTGCACATATTTTTTACATCATTTATGTACATTGGTGGTGAAAGAGTGGCAGCACTCTCTTGATGAGTAACGTTGTCTGGTGTAAGACAGAGTAAAATAATAAAGTAGGTGCATCTGGATGCATTGCCACATAAAGGGTGGATTATGAATATCTGAAACATTTCAAGTCCATATCCCATTGAGTAGCAGCAATCTCCTCTTGATGTGCCGGTAAAATTGTCTGGCATTAGACAGAGTAAAATATCAGTGATTCACCGATAATCGATATCGGGCCGATTTTTGTCTTATTGGTAGACAATCAGAATCTGTAGAATAATTATCTATATTTCGTTATTATTTCCACAGTTAATAGAATGAGATATTTCCGATTGTCTAAAATTGATTGTTGAGAAAATACGCACTTTTAAAATGATATGCATTGCACGTTGATACACGTTGCGTTTTAATGCAATATGTTAAATTATTGCGTGAAGCGTGCCATTTATTAACCGTTTTATAGTCGAGTCAAATCACTATAAGTACGTGGTCCTGATCAAAGTAATAATAGATTTTTTTTTCAGTGGTAAAGTGTGAGAAAAGGTGTTCTGATTAACATATTAAAAATCCCAAAAAATCGAGTTTTTCTTACTTCTGCCAACAGAATAGATTGCGGACAAAATGTTGAAATTTTGAAATTATTTTTTTGCAAATATAACCTGCATCATTGGAAAGCTTAGAAAAAACTAAATATAGATCATTAAACGGTTACCTTGCTTTTGCTTATCCAGCCGAAGTTATACCAGATTTAAAATGCCATAAATTTGTATTTTGTGCACATTTTGCGCTATTTTTGAATATAACGGTTTAATTGACCTTTATATAGTTTTGTTTAAGCTTTCCAATAATGTATGTTACATTTGCCTAAAAATCAGTGATTTCAAAATTTGAACATTCTGTCCACAATGGTTTTCTATAGGTAGTAAGAGAAACTCGATTTTCACCATGTTCCACCGAAGGGATTCTTTTTGGAGTTTTAGTATGTTAATTATAAGTATGTCATTATAGTTATATATAATTAGTATGTCATTATAATATTGGTATTGGGTAGATTGTGGCATGATGGTAATTTTCGATTGCTGCACAATCAGTCAATCACTATGAAATATTAAAGTACGGCTCATCAGGGCACATTTATTAGTTTTAACAGCTTTATTGAACGATGTTCAAACGGCAAGATTGCGAATGGGACTCGAGACCCATGCGAGGCACTTTCCCTCTTGAATTTTGTTTACTTCTAATATCATTATTTACGACAATATTATATAAATTGGTAAACATATGCCAGCTGATTAATATCTCAAATAAGGACGCTATTGCACCACATTTAGATTATCATGCATAATATAGTATTTGTATAAATGTTAAAAATTAGAAAGCTGAATCAGGATCAGACAAAACCTGACACGAGGAGCTGGTATATGTTTACATCGGAATGAACTATTTCTATAGCATGAACAGCTACGATACAAAGACCACGTACAGCACATGTCAACATCAAAACTACTACTGTGCACTTTTCTAACTGGTTATGGTCTAAACCCTTGAATAGTAACATTTTCTGGACTTAGATAAAATAATAAAGTTGTGTAGGGTTACAGTACTTAGTCAGATGATGTTGTGTTTCAGTTGACTCTGTTGAACAACAATTTACCAACCCATCTATAATTCCTGCGAAAATGTCGCCAATGATTTTACCAAAAGCAATGGAAGTATCACCAATGGTAGGTTCAGTTTAAATTTTACTTTACGAAATTCTCCTTAATTACACGCTCACAAAAATAACCTAGCTGACCTTACTTTACACACAGTAGCCAGTACTAGCTGACCTTACTTTACATACAGTAGCCAGTACTAGCTGACCTTACTTTACACACAGTAGCCAGTACTAGCTGACCTTACTTTACATACAGTAGCCAGTACTAGCTGACCTTACTTTACATACAGTAGCCTATAAACTTGCCAACATCTTGGCTACTCTACAAAAGGTGTCCGAAAAAATAAGTATAAACTCCAACTAACCAACCTAAGACCACTAATTTTGAAATTTGCCATGTTTATTATTCTTAATAACAATACGCTTTTATTGAAAGAAAAATGTGATGCAAAAAGAATAAGAAACGGCAATTATGTGACTGGTTATGTAACCAGAAGAAACTAGAAAGTTTTATTTATGCACATAATCTGTATTAAAAGCAAAAATTTGCACTAAAACCACAAGAAAAATATAAGAATTATTTTTGTCGGAGGTCAAAAACTAAATGTAGTAGATTGCTTATGCCAATTGTTATTCATTTCTGAAGAAACTTGGTATAGTCAACATCAAATTTCTGTTTCTTGTGGTTTCAGTGCAAATAGTTAAAGAGATTCTGAGCATAAATAAAAAGTTTGTCAGGTCACATGTATTACTCAATAAATGCCTTGAATTCTGGCAGCACTCTCCTCTGCAGATGCTCTTGCATGCGGACATGTCAGTGTCCCAGGATGTCCCCTATTAGCCCCACACAATCGCCAACTTCTACTCCGCCTGACCTTTCCTCAGGGGCTGGTTGTTCAAAAGACGATTAACCTACCCTAGGTTAATCTGAAACTCAAAGCAAACTCCTGACAGCTTGTTTATAAATTTGGAAATATTTCTTCAGAAATCTTGTCTGGATTGATAGGAGTTTACTTCTCTGAAGTTTTGAAAAAACAGACGTGCAGAAATACACAAACCAAAACAGCATGTTAAATTTTAACCGTGGGTTAGTTCTAACCCAACTTTGAACAACCGGGCCCAGGGCCACAAAAAATATTAAGGATCTGCTAAGGGAGTGTTATGGTAGTTGCAGTTATACAGTATGACTCACGAAAGGGTATAGGTAATGAGAAATTGATATCATGGATCTCACCGAACTGTGGCATTACAGCAAAAATTAATATTGTTGTCACTCCAACAAACGTCTGTGGCCACACGTACATATTTTTGCAAGTCTGCAATTCTAATTTCAAACGGCCAATCCCGTTCCTGGTAACAATTGCTATAAAACATTGATTGATGATTTAAAATTAGAATTGTAAACATGCAAAAATATCTGGGTGTGTTATAAACATTTGTGGGGGTGGAAGTGATACAAATTTTTGATACGATACTGGTACCACGGTTCGGTGAGATCCGTAATATTGGTGTTAAATCCTCATTATCGGTTCCTCATTCACCACCATGTTTAATCTATTTATGAACTAGTTCAAGATTTGAGCCATGTAATATTGCTCAAAAAGGCAACTGCGTGCCTTTAAATGGAGAATGTTGTGCCTGTTAGAAGAATACAGTTATCCATATGCCAATATGGCAGATTGAATTGCATCTACTTACAAGCACCCGCTTCACATCTATGTATACGTATCTAATGACTGATGTACACATTTTAACTCCCCATACCGGTCACTGGTTAAAACTTTATCGTAATTTTAATTGTTAGTTATTTTAATCTTATGCAGGTATTAGGAACACCATCACCCCGTGGTCAATTAAATGTAACTACTCCTCAACAATATATTGTTGCTTCACCTCATGGCGCTTGGTCCAGGTAAGACAGAACAGAAAAGTGTGTAACACGAGTTGCTCATGTACAGATGGTAGTCATGTATATGAATGTTCTCCTGTTTTATAGTGGTGAAAGTTTGTCTGGAAGTCGAAAAAGAAGACTGGACATGGATGAATCACCTGATAGTGCAGAAAGGTACTTACAGTACATTGATAAATCCCTACTGCAACATTTACTAATTAAATGTATTTATTTTTGGTAATCTTTATATTACCTACTGTGTATAAGTTCAAGTATTTTGTAAATACAGTAAATTGTCATGATTACACCAAGATCTCTTTACCAAGTAGTTTATTTTTAAGCGTGTGCGGCACTTAATACTAAGAAAACACCAAATCTTTACTTTTATGACAAGGAATAAATTTTAACTTCAGAGGAAACACGTTTATTTGATGATTATTCCTTCTCTAACAAAACGTAGACTACCTGAAAATACAAGGAGAAATTGCTAAGATTGCTGAACAACATTTTCGAACCAACAATAATTGTTTACTATTATATCAACATTGTTGAACATGTGTCTGTGTGCACAAAAGTGACTATAAGTTATATAATAAGTATGCCTTAGTATTATATTTTGAGTCTGTAGTTCTGTTATGCTGCCCTTACCTAAAGAGAGAACTAATGTGTCAATGCAATTACCTAGAAAAAAGCGTGGCAAACGTATACTGAGTGGTCCAAAGACTCCAAATGATAAAGTAGGAAAAGGACTTCGACATTTCTCAATGAAAGTTTGTGAAAAAGTACAACAAAAAGGAACGACGTCTTACAATGAGGTAAGCACTAGCGTTTTTTATGCGACTCTTTCATGTGTTTCATATTTCCTTGCACACTAGTTTCAGAATGTCATCTTTTTTGTGCTCATGTATGTACAAAAAAAATTCCTTCGTACAAACATATGGGATGCTCTCTGTTCCTTAGATTAAAATTGTTGCTAAATCTCTAAATTTTTTTGCTCAGAACACAATGGTAAGGTGTTGTTTTTTCGTAGACACAAAATCCGAGCGAAAACTTGATACATAAATTTTAAGAACTATTTACATGCATGAGCGGCCGTGTTGTATCGGATAAATCAGGCTTAGTATCGGATAAATCAGGCTTAGTTGTGAAACATCTTGATGAGAACATTCGTATTCTTCAACAAAATTGAGAAACTTAAGTTTACTGTATGTAAATCAGCATGATTTTGTATCAGACATACAAAGTCCTTCACGGGACCTCATGGTTTATTTTGTTTTTCCTTTCATAAATTATTGATTAACTTCACAAGTACTAGTTAAAATTTGACCAGCTGATCTTTATGGGCATTTACAATGGAGAGCGCGCAGCGCGAGCAATTGTTAAATGCCCATAAAGATCAGTTGCGAATATTGAACGTACTTGTAAAATGAATTTATTTGTTTACTTTATTAGTATTCACTGCCCATAGGGACAGTCTCACGCTTCATTAGCGTGCTATTAAAACCTGAATTAGTATTGTTAACTTTCATAAACATCCATGCTTCTCAATTAGTATTGTTAACTTTCATAAACATTGCGATTTATATGCGATTTACATTTCGATTATAATGCGATTTACAAGTGTGCACATGTGACCTAAATACCGCGTCGTGATTTGTTTGTGGTCTTATTAATTATTCATGAATTTTACAAGACTAATTGTAAACCACTCATCATCCCAACTGCCTCCCGCGGTTACGTCTTAAATATTCAAATAATTCCCGCTTGAAATTCCCATCCACGAAAAAAAACCTTGGCATAATATTAATTAACCAGGCTTTGACAAGCAATCTATATGCTTTCCATCTTAACGAGCTTTCAGTGGAATTCGTCAAGAATTGCACCAAATATAATGTGTAGCAAGTAGCTTGTAGGTTATTAATCACTGATTATTTTGCGTAGGTTGCAGATGAACTTGTGCAAGAGTTCAGTGACCCTGAGAAACACATGAGCCAGGCTGAGCAGGTTAGTCGATATGAAATTTATAAATGCAAAAATATACAAAAAAGTGCAATATTGTATTTGTCATAAGGATCTCCGTTTTCATTTAAAAACGTAAAGCGGATTGGTCTTCCCAGGGTTCGTATGGATGCTTAAAAACCATGAAAACTCATGTTGCACACTCAAAAGTCCTTAAATTTTTAAAAACGTGAAAAGTACTCAAGTTTAATGAACTTTCCATTTATGTACAGGCTAAAGAAAACATGCATACTCGGTCACATTCTCCTTTCCAGACACATCTGGGTAAAACGCATACAACCAGTAAATCAGTTTTATTTTTGGTAGCATCAGGTTTTGCATGAAATCCATGGCAATTTCTCTGTAAAACTACATATTTACCCCATGAATAAGTGTAAAGTTTATGTTCAAGTTAGGGAAGAACCGTTCCTATGAAACTAATAGTGAGTTTGGCAAATGACGTGCTCATCAGCAATAGCATTTTCACTCTAAGACGAAGGCGACTATAAATTGTATTCCCTTGAGCATTCTAGTACGCCGTAGTTGTTCAAACTGCTACGTTATTTACATCATTTTCACGGCTCATAACCGCACCAACAGTTAAAACGTTAGAAGTCGTATATGGCGTGTTTAACGCCAACGGTTGTACTGCGCATCCAAAATATGCGCGAACTTGAAAAACTGTCTGCCAACAATTAATCAAGTTAGGAGTGAAATACGATATGCTATTTATAATCCCTTCGTTATGCATGCCATCGTTGCTTGCTTGCTTGACTGCTGCATCTTTTCCTATCATGTAGCATTAATTTTAAACGTTTCTTTGCGCCGTTTATTTTATCAGCGCCGTGACACTGCCCCTTTAAGGGTTTGTAAATGTGATAAGTACTCTTTTAAAGGCCGTTTTCCACTTCAAACGTGTACCGTATCGAAACGTATAAAAAATTTCAAAATTTGATTCAAAATCCGAAATGTACTCCAAAACATACGTTACTAAAATTTGTTGCTAATGTATGTTTTGACTCGAATACAAAAGTGTCCTGTAAATTTGTTTCTGCCGTTGCCGTTGTCGGTCGCCAAACTCGCTAATGACAAAACTTTTTTTAATTAAGCGGTCTTCAACTGGGGACTTCAAAAATGACTTTTATGTTTTCGCGTGGTGGTTCGCGTAACCAATAAGTGTTACATTTAATTTTCCCTAAGGAAAGTAGTATAACCGGAATCTCGGCTTCGTTGTCCATTTCTAAAACGCAAAACGCTTTTTGTTCAGACACAGTTTGTGAGTTGTGTAGGTGTCATTGTTGCATGTTTGTGTTTGGAGAAGTGAGTTAAAATCAATAAACAAGAACAGTTCCTACATGCTCCTGTTCTGAGACAATAAACAAGTTCCTGTTCTGAGACATTCGTGTGCTATGTTTGTTTAGCAGTATGACCAAAAGAACATCAGACGTCGAGTCTACGATGCTCTCAATGTACTTATGGCAATGAATATTATATCAAAAGAAAAGAAAGAAATCAAGTGGATTGGTTTACCAACAAACTCGGCACAAGAATGCCAACATCTCGAGGTATCGTCACGATTATTTTCTTCTTAGTAGGGACTGGTCACATGGGTATTATTTTCAGCCTAGCTTGATATTTCAGCCAGGATCCTGGTGTCATAAAAAATACGATAAACATGCGTTATGAATGAGAGTTAAACGTTTTTTGCACGAAGAACATGATGACTAGTATATTAATTTATTTACATGGCGTTATAGGCGGAAAGAGCTGAAAAAGTAGCAAGGATTCAACAAAAAACTGCACAACTACAAGAACTAATTTTACAAGTAAGTCATTAATAATATATTTAAAATCCTGTTGCTGGAAAACTACATGGCAAACTTTGTTCGAATAAAATATAGGCTTGAATGTTTTATACCATGAATTGAAAGTTTACTGGGTGTTTTTCTGTAGCAAATCGCGTTTAAGAACTTGGTAAAGAGAAATAAGAAAGTGGAAGAAGAAAAAGGACCACCTCGAACAAACACTACAATACATCTTCCTTTTATCATCGTCAACACCAGCAAGAAAACTGTCATTGATTGTAGCATTTCAAATGATAAGTAAGTTCCATCTAATTTCCCTCAAGTATCAACTGTAGTTCACCTCGTAAAGGCGATACTCAAGAAAGGGTCAGTCCATCTTTTGTATGGTCTTCATGTAACTTGATCTCTCACTATCCTCTTAAGTCCATCATTCGGTCCTATCATTCCTCCCCCTACATCATTTGCCTCTTACATGTTCCATGCTCTCTTACCCAATTTTCTAGCCATTCTAATCAAGTGTACAAACCATCTAATAACTAATTCTTGCTTCTACTTTCTTGAGCTGCTTTTGTAAGATGTTCACGTAGTGGTCAGTGGTAGAACTTTCGGTGAGGGGGGGGACAACAGGTTGGGGTTTGGCTAAAATCAGCCAAATTTGAGTGCAAATGAGGAGTTTGTAGGAATTTAAGGACGTTTGCCCCACCATCGGAAAAATTGAATTTCCACTACGATTTTGTGCATGAAGTTCTGCTTATATTTTCACATTTTTCAGGTAGTTGTAAATCTATCTGGCCCCCATTAGGAATCTGCAAGTTGACCCCTTCGTTTGACTGAATTTATCCCGCAAATCTTTTATAATCTCTGTGTGTATTCCCGTTGCCATTCAATTCACGAATGCCAAGTTACCAATTTTGAAAATTATTGATGTAAGTGAATGGGTGATATAAACAGGCGTTGGATGATCTGGCCTATTATTCTGCTTTTTGAAGAGCTGTTATGCCTTGTTTTTTCTAGGTTCGAATATCTTTTCAACTTCGACAACAGATTTGAGATTCATGATGATATCGAAGTATTAAAAAGAATGGGAATGGCGTTCGGATTAGAAAAGAAAATTTGTAATGACGGTAATATTGAGTTGGCAAAAACCATGGTGCCAAAAGCATTAGAACCTTACGTAACAGGTGAGGTGATGTGATCCGGTGCAATTTTATAACAGTAGCCACACACTTACCCAGGCCCTTTTATTGCTGAATTTTCGTAGCTAAGCCTGCTTTGTCTTCATTTGGTTGTCGTAGAAATGACCATCTCCAGGAGGTCAATATAATACAGCGTCGATATATTCCTGCAATCTGTTAAGACTGATTTGCATTTATAATATAGCATTTGTAATTTCTGAACGCTGATTGGCTAAGAGCCGTGTTGATATAACTCAATGTTAACACGGAAACGTCGGAAAATTTCTTTCTTTATATTTCTTTGTGCTATATTATAAAACAAATATAAAACATTTTTTCCGTATTGATATACAGTTATATCAACACTCATGAAAATTGGGAAAACTCGAAATTGTGTGAAAACACTCCGCCCTTCGGGCATCGTGTTTCCACACAATTTATCGTTTCCCCAATTTCCACTCGTGTTGATATAACGGAATATCAACACGGAAAATGTTTTATATTTGTTAAACATCGCACGACAGACAAAATACAGTAGATCAAGACTATTTCACATCGGCGATCATCCGCGCCAGGCTTGAGCCTATTATCAAATTTTTTTATAAAAAAAAATGAAATTGGGAGGGCGGTTTCCCCAATGGCCTCTTCGCCACATGTTTTACTGGATGCCGTGTCCATTTTGATTTGCAAATTTATTCCATTCAAGTGTAAGGAAAACTAAAGCAGATATATGTTGTATTTAGATCTTGCCAAGAATGGACCGTCAGGATTGGGATCAACTGGTATTACACCTGCAACTCCAACGTAAGTCGTTTTCTTGCGTCTTGTTCAAATACGTCTACATCATATCGAGCTCAAGCTTTTAGAATTCTTTTATGGCCGATTACTAAATAAAAAAACTCAATCCTGAATTGACTTTTGAAACCGAATCATCTCATCAAATGTGCATCCAAAAAACGACGTATGAACTTTCACTTATGTAAGTGTTAGTATACAATGACTTCGCACCCTTCCGGGTCTGGCCTGCAAAATCGACCTAGAAATAATCCTAAATGTCTTTTACAAAAATGCTTGAAGTCGGTTGTTACTGTTTTAATTAATCTATTATTTTAAACTATGTAATTTGAACAGGAAACAAGGTTCACCGAATTCGCCATGTACAGTCCACACTCCAGTGAAATCATCTCCATTAGCAATGCCACTAACTGCCACATCAGAACCTGTTGCCAACGGAGTGCAAACACCTTCTGGTCAGCGGGCTACCACGCCATCACTAAGTTCATGTCCATCGTCGCCGCCGGGAACTCCCCACACTGACTCAGAATCATCACGTGATGGCTTTGGCGATGGAGACGCCACACCCAAATGAGAATGTAGAGACTGTAAATTACATCTGTCCTGTAACCGCACAAATCAGAGATTTTGCGTGCACTGTGAAGTATATCTAAGCTATTTGAGCATTGTGCAGCAAGACAAGTTTATCTAGAATTATTTGGGTATTACATGTAGATAGAAACCGGGCGTTTTTTTAGGGGAAGGAATTTGTTTTCAGTTTTGTATTGTATACTGAAAGAATTTTCTATATATATATATATATATATATCCTTATCTCAGGAGCTGCTCGAAAGTGCTCGTCTAGTGCTGTGTATTATAAACTTTACTGAAGTATACAATAGTGTCTGAGGTACCAAAAATCTTCCATTAACAGAGACACAATTTTTTGTGACCATGTATTTGCCACCAAATTCCCAAAACACTTAACTACAAAGTTCTGGAAGAATTTATACGGAGAACTAATGCAATGAACAACCCAGTATACGGGTACATGTATACATTAGGCTACATTTACATACCGACTGCTTGATGGTTGGTGTTACGAGACTTGTTACGAGTTGTTGTAACATCTTGCTATCGTCCTGTATTTCAACAACTGATTAACAAGTTGTTGGTGACGACCTTGGATTAATGTAATACAATTGCTAGAGCAACTATTAGCTTGTGGATCCGATAGAGCATCGAGTGTAAACAAGAAAAGTAATGATCAAAAGGGGTAGACGGTGAGGGAGTTTACAAGATAATTCAAATTGAAAATTTCATTTGGGGTTCGCGTTAAGGTCAGGGTTATAGAGTAATGTTTGTTGGGGTTGTTTCGTGTGCCTGAAAAGAGCTGGTTTCTTGATCGTTTCACGATCTTGAAAACCGGCGGCCATCTTGAACCTCCCTGTCGTCTATCCAGTTTAACAATGATCACAAGAACCCGGATATTAACTAAACTGTAAGAAAAACTTAGATATTGAAGGAAGTGTGGAAATGTCACGAGGTATACTTACATATCAAACACTCGTTGACGTGCAACATATATTCTTGTAATATAAAAGAAGTAAATGTTATGGAACGGTAATACGTTCGAAATGTGTTTCTTTCAAAATATATATTTCTCATGTAAAAGAAAATAAATGAAATCAAGAACAAAATATCGTGCTGTATGTTTTAACCCTCCTGTACGCCATAATTACTGCTATAGCTTAATTACGTCGACATACATAACCGGGCGTAGGATGACAAGCGTGAACATACATGATTTCTTGTATCCACAGCCTGGATTGTATCTGAAGCCTGGTTTTTCGTATGGTCGTAAAAATATAGTCACGATCTAATTTATCAACGCCAACGGCCCCAGTTTATACCTGTAAACCATATATAAATCATAAGTACTCTCTAATATATAAATCATAAGTAATCAATCCGCGTATTTTCAGTTCTAAAATTTGTATTTCGGCTGATGAGAAAGATCGTGACTCAATCTTTACCATGTAAAAATTGGGCGGGCAGGCCCTGGGTACGAGATTGATGGAAACCAGGTTTCAGGGTCCGGGTGTATAGCATCAACCACCCCTCCCGTTGATATGACCATCGATGGCCCCTCCCCATGCGCGGTGTATTTTTGCCGAGTCGTCAGGATGGGTTTGGCGGTTTATCGGAAAATAATTTTTAGGCTTCCGTTGCTTGATCAGAAAATACAAAGTATTAATGAACATATAGTACAAAAAAGACCATCGATATGGAATTAAAAATTCTAACCTTTGACATTAAAAAGTGAAATATTGTTGATTCTAAAATCTAATTTGATGCTAACGCGTCGTGTTTGACAATTTATATATAAACTTAATTGTCATGAATGAAGTATGACCCTATAAGTTAGGCCTGTTTTATACGTCGAATTTCGGTCGGGTCGAATGCAATTCAAACAATAGATAATGAAGCCTAATGAGGTTTATCATCTCATTATCTATTGTCTTAATTGCATTCGACGCGACCAAAATTCGACGTAAAACAAAGCATGTCGAGATTATCTGCCAAATCTTGTCTCCGATTTTTTCATATTTTGTCAGTACTGAAGTGTTTTTCTTTAATTTACACTATCAAAGTACGTTTCCTATCAAAGTGATCACAGTTTTGCATAGGTCAATTCTAGGTTTTGCAAGAAATGTTGAGGGAACTGGCTCAGTGTTAAAACGGACAAACTGGATGACTCGTCATTCTTTAATTTTGCCAAATTCAGTGAAGATATTCTTTTGTTGGCACCAACACGGCCGCCATGACGTAACGTGCATTATATAATAACTATAGTGAAGGATGAGACAATCCTGCACGGAAAATTTAAATGCCTTCCGCGGGATTTTCAAAAATGTCGCACAACGAAAACTTCAATGCGTGAAATAAACAACAGTATATTAAACGATCAGCGTGATCCATGCTGACCATGCCCTTGGGATGGTTCTCGACTTTCGGAAAGCGTAAACTTTATTACAGATACTTACCTTTATATTTTTTCAACTTTGTGTATAATTAGCTATACGTCCCTCCTGAAAATCAACTAATTCTCTAGTTGTGACTTGTCGGAGAAGAGTGTCCAAATAAAAAGTGTCTATTACGACTTACGTACACAGAAAATAATTGAATAAGTAATTACGTAACTTCCATTGTGTGTGGAAATACTCAACCTGTGACTATGCTACCTGAAATATTAACGCACATTCAACTTGTACAATTATTACTTTAATTCATAAACAGTTACATTTGAAGACTGATCAGCAACAAATAAACAATCTTTTTTAAACGAAGAACAAGTTATCCAGTTTATTTTACTGTCATGAAGTATCTTATGATACAACTCATATTTAACATTTTTTCCTGTCTGAATTTCTTTCCAAATATTAATCTTGCCATCATTTCCACCAGACACCAGACATCGTTCAGTGCTGCCAAAATTGAAATAATACACTTGACTCACTTCTGAATCATGACATTTTAACCTCTCAGTGCATGTGGATGACTTTCCTTGAAATTGAAACAATCCGATCTCTCCATTACCTAGCATATAGAAATGGAAAACTGAGTAAACTATATTATATAATTTATGTAATTGATATAACAAACATAGGGCTTTCAAAATAAGCCGGCAGCTGCCGGAACTCCCGGGGGTGTTACGACGTTCACCGCCGGCTAATTTATTTAAAACATTACTCTACACGCACTGCTAAATCTGCATTTTCCATCAAATTTCTGACGTTTATAAACCATTGGCAAGAGAGAACAAACATATAGAAGTGATTTTTGACATTACATCATCTAAAAACTAAAAACCGAAAACAAGCAACAAATACAATAAGATGAAGAAGCGACTTTTGTTGGAAATGTTTTTGCTTTTTCCCAACCCATATTCATCAAAGTCCTGACATTAGTGATTGACCGATTGTGCAACAATCGGAAATTACCGATTATTCATGTCACAACCTATCCGACACCTATGCCGTTAACGATTTTATAATGACGTCATAATATCAGTCGACCGAGTAAAGGTGACATCATTCATGTCGTTTTTAAAGATAATTGCCAACGTAACATGTTACTGCAACCAAAGATCGTTAAAACCGTTAATAAATGGCACGTTTCACATATTAATTTAACATATTGCGTTAAAACGCAACGTGTATCAACGCGAAATGCATATAATTTTTCAAGTGCGTATTTTCTCAACAATCAGTTTTAGACCATCGGAAATATAGATAATTCTACCGATTTCGATTGTCTACCGATAAGGCAAAAATCGGCCCGATGCTGACTATCGGTCAATCACTACCTGACATTTTAGCATTTTTTAAAGACACATTTTCTTTCCAAACAAGAATTTTATCCATTCTTATACTGCAGTACACAAGCATAGCTGACTACCAATTTGAACCACACTTGAAAAGTTGTCAAAACTTATCCTATATTTGTTAAATTACTCTTTCAGCCACCTACTTTCTCACCACAGATGCTTACTTAAAATAATTTTGAAAGTCTTGAAAATCATGGTTCTGATTTAACCTGAGTAATAATCACAGTAACCACAAACTAATTAAAGCTACTGGTTATTACTGAGTGAATACTGGCTAGATGGACATGCTATATATAACATACTTGCACCTTAATATAATTATTTATACCGTATGCCACTCACTTTGCTATTTTATGCTGACCCCAGTCAAACCTGTGTTCAAACAAGGATGATAGTTGAGAAAACTCTCAAGCAAACTCTTGCTTGTCAACTCTCATCCTTGCTTGACTCTGGCTTAATACCACAGGATTTTACTTGTCAAGGCGATCGAGATGTTAGGTGCTGATGAGTTAAACTTAATTTATTCAAAAATAATGTTTTTTAGACTTGAATTTTATACCTAATCCTGTTGCAAATGTCTTGCCATCTTTAGCAACCGAAAGTGAATGAACAAATGGAGGATTAATAAATGATGTTTGGTTGCCTTCTGTCTGTTTCAATATATGATCATTCATATTAAATATTTGCTGTGGCTTCCCGCTTGAAAAATCCCAATTAATAATATTACAGTCAAGTCCTGCACTCAGAAGTTGCCAAGATTTTTTATGCCTGAACTGTACAGAGGAACATATGTTATCATGACGCCTGCCTAATGTCTTAAACAAGCGTGATTCCTGAATATCAATGACTTTTATTTCACCCAGGTCATCACAAGCGGCCAAATATCGCCCTGTGCTGTTTACACATAGTTGGTTAATTTCGTCTTCATTTAAATCAAATTTAGTAAGATATGCTGAACATTTTCTCATATCATATACCAGAACTTGCATTCCTGATGAAACATAGAACTTGTTACCGTCTGATAGATTGAAGGTGACAGAATTTAGAGGATATTCATCTGAGGTCAAACCATGTTCATTGTTGACATTTATATCATGGAGAATCTGGCCGTCTGTTGACCACAATATACAATGACCATCCTCAGCAACACTTGATAATATTCCATCAGTATTAATATCCAGAGCAAGAATATTTTCTTTATGGCCAACTCTAGTTGTTCTCACAAAGTTCATTTTTCGAAACTGAAAATTTT